TAAATGAAACGATTGGCAGCTCCTGATCCACAACTACCTTTCCAGTCCGAATAGTCCGAGATGGAATTCAGCTTGGAGATTACGACTTTTTTATTCAAAACAACGTATCTCCACCATTCTTCAGCAAATATTTAAAAAAAAAAAATTCGTTACTCCTGGTTAGGAGTACGAAAATATAGAAAACATTATTTTCTGTTTGCCAATAGTTTCAAAGTTATGAAGGGTGACAGAATTAGAATCAAGAAAATTTATCTTTTTTTACCACCAAAAGATCATCAGTTGACCAATTTACAGCTCGCTTATCATTTTTTTATCAGGTGAAGTTCGATGGAATCCAGAACGAGCATCCTTGCCAATTATAGGTTTTTGACGGAGATATAAGAAAAAAACAGACAGAAAGTTCTAGGTGGCCATCTTTGACCCTCCATTTTGGATAGAAACGGACATGAGATTTGAGGGGACTTTTCATGGTTTATTCTGCATTCACAGCCAATTATGAATTTTCTTGATATCAAATCCTAAATTTACTGCGCTATTGCCCGTACCCATTGAGTCACTTTTAGAACACGTAGATATCCAATTCTTGTGATATCCATTAGACTAACTCCCTCTGGGACACGACGACCCGTAGTGAATACAACGCATCCATTCATTCTCAGTCAAGTCGAAGTGGAAACAGTCAAGTTAGATTACTGTGGAGAGCTCCCTACTCCACCGCTATTCTGCAGCACCATCCTCGACAGTAATAAGGCCGCTTTTGTTGACTAGGAATGCCTTAGTTAACTCGCTGACTACATTACCATATCGGCGCCGCCATAATGAAACAAGAAGTCTCCCTGCAGAGCTGTTTGGTGGTCGCCATGACGACACCCCACCTTCCACCCCTCACATAACTCGCCCGCTCCCCTCGCACTAAATGGGGGCGGAAACTCTTCTCGTTATCCTGCTTCGTAAGCACCCTCATTTCCAGGAAAGGCGCAATATTGTGAAGTTGTATTGATTGGTCTCTATTGGATTGATGTTTTTTTATTCTTGATAATTAGTCGAAGGGATGTTTGCAAAATTAATATTTTATACATAAAATATTTCATATTGAATATTTAATAGTTGACCGTTGTATTATAAAGGAAGGAGATGGCCGGGGTTGCGGTCATAAATTAAAAAAAATGATATAATATGGTAAAATAAAGCTGTGTTCATTTCTTCACCATATTTATTTCGATTTACATAGTTACGTTTCGACTGGTAAGTCATCTTCAAGCCATTTTATTCAACCGTGCTTTTTGCACGGTCCTATGTAGTCCTAAGTCAGGTTAAGTCGGATTAAATTACTTATAATTTAATCTGACTTTGGACTACATGCAAAAAGCATGGTTGGATAAAACGGCTTGAAGATGGCTTACCGGTCGAAACGTAGCTATTTAAATTGAAATAAATATGGTGAAGAAATAGACATAGCCTTATTTTAAATCCACATATGTATAATATGGTATGTATTGGGCTGTTACATGGGCCTACGCAATCTCGTTAGGGTGACATGTTTGAGGTGGAGGTCAAGCCAAACGGTACAATATTTTTGTTGGCCATATTTTTTCTCGATTTTTTGATCTAATTATCCTCCTATTCAAGTGGAAAGAAAATGGATGTTTATGAGTTTCTGATGCCTCATATGAGTTTCATTAAATAGACAAAGTTTACCGATTGAAATTGTTATCCCAAAGAGAAAAGGCCGTTTTTCTGAGAATTTTCGTAAATAAAAAAGTAACGCGGACTGTTAAAGTTGCTAAAGAAACCAATTCCAGAGCAGTTTTGCTTATTGGATTTTATTGGCACTATAGTAAATTTCTAGAAATTAATAATAATAATTAATAACCGAAGCCTGTTGTAAAGTATGCCATAAAAATATGTGTAAATAAATTAAATAATAACAATGTAACATTATTTTATATTACCTACTTTATTTGAATGTAAATTTAGAAGTAAAAAATAAAAGGCGAGGTCTGGTCCCCTTGGAAGTCCGTTGCCGGGGGCTGCAACCTACCGTTTCGATAGAAAAGTTTTACTTCTATCGGAGTCCTACCAACCTTGACAGTTTCTGTCATGCCGTATTAGCTATTCCACATATGACTGGCTTCATATTAAAGACGGACATCTGTCATTTTCAGAAAGTGGAGAAAAGTTCAATTTTATAGATTGGACTCAAACTATTCTGATAATTTTATTTCAAGAAGAATGTTCAAGTTCATAAAAAAAAGTCATTAGAGTTTGGTTTAAATTGATGCTGTGTTACAGGAAATTGACTTCTTCTAAACTTATTAAAAATGACAGATGTCAGTCTTTGATATTAAGCCACTCATGCGTATATCAATTATTATGCAATAGATATAGGTGTTAATCACTATAAATAAATAATAAATATTATTCTAGTGTTAATCAGTTTACTTATTAAAGGTTGTATGATTACATCTGATACTTATAAGAGAAAATGCTATTATTTCATTTAGTAATCTTTAGAATAAAATGAGAAATGAATCCTTAGCATGATAATGGTAAAAAATTAAGTATTGAATGTAATTATTGGATGTTAATTAACTGAAGAAATCCGAAAATAAAAATATGAATAACAATAATTAACTTATCTTCCTGTTTTATTGGGAAAAAAATCTTTATAATTTCTTTATCCTTGTAATAAACAATACTATAGTGACCAGTATTTATTTTATTATAAAATGCTTTCTCTATTGTCTTTCGTGTATGTTTGTATATTTTTTTTATAATTTAAAAAACAACAAAACAAGGCGGTTGCTGTATAATATATTTACTTTCATTCCATCGGAACACCTTGTGAAGGTTGAATCCATTAGTGATCATTATCTGGTAATGCTCTGCTTCGTATCGGGGTTAAGGCCACAGTATTCATTACAGGATGTGATATTAATGTATTTATATATGATGTCAGATATGTTTGGAATAGTTTGGAGTTTATGTCAGAATCATTCTGGTTATTATCGCGTCATCAATGACTGTATGAAAGAGCGGATTCGATTTGAAATTATTCGGTCTATAATCTTTGGATAATCATAGCAAAAGTAATATTTTAAATCATCATCTATTATGTATTACTCCTTAAGTGTTTTTTATTTTTGTCAGAGTACCTTAATTCTTCATCAAATGCAATGATTGATTCATCATTTTGAAGATAATTATTATTATATTGCCACATGTTTACTGACGAATATACTACCAATATATTAGGTTTATATATACAAATACCATTTTGGATCAGCCTTAAATTAAATTTTTTTTTAAATATTATTTATTATTATAACAATCTTGGTCGAATTATTTGGTCGAAATTTAATATTTTGTTAAGTATTTTTTTTTCAAAATCGATTATTTTCTCTAGAAAAAAACGACCTGGGTTTCAAATTTGTTAAAATCGAGTTCATCATCATAATAAAAGCTGGCGATATAATATTTTTTTAAGTAATTTATATATTTGATATTTAATCAGTTTTTGGAACACTAAAAAACTGTTATATAATTTTACGAGTGTTATAATACCATGATAAATCATAAACCCATCATAATAGATATTATTATTTGAATAATAGTTGACGAACTATTGTCCCAACTATAATAGTTGGGACGTGACCTTTACCACGTTCACCTGTTGTAGGTGTATCAGGTAGTTCTTGACTTATTATTTCATCTTATCTGTGCGTGTTTGTGTTTTAATACTTATTTTATTAATAAATTTAATCTCAGGCTGATCCAAAATGGTATTTGAATATCTAAAACTAATATTGGTAGTATGTGGAACTTGGCCCGTAAGAATAATTCCCATAGTACATTCGGCAGTGAACAAGTGGCAATATAATAATAATTATCTTCAAAATGATGACTCAGTCATTGCATTTGATGAAGAATTAAGGTACACTGACAAAAATAAAAACGCTTAAGAAATAATACATAATAGATGATGATTTAAAATATTTTGCTATGATTATCCATCGCTAAAACAAATTTTTAGTTTATTCATTTTTTTTTTTTTATTAACTTAAATAGCTGGCCATGATGCTTTAAAGGTACTTTTTACTTCATGTGAGTTAGGGGTAGTAGTTATTCTTTCATTAGTTTCTCCAGGTTCCAGGTAGGTACCCTCATCCACCCTTTTACCTTGTCAGCTCCTTGTCTCCAGTCTAGCCTCCAGAGGGTGTGCCGCTGATTCTTTGGCATCCAGAATTGTTTTTGTATGCCCTCGTAAGGTTGTTACCTTAAAACCATCCTCTGGACCGTAGCATTTAACAAAATGGACTTAAGAAAGCATTTAAACAAAATATAGTTTAAAGACTTATGCTAATTAGTTAATTTAACTAGATAGATAGATATTTTATTTGTTTTTTTGGGGGGGGAGGGGGAGGAAGATTCCCCATACAAATAGAGCCTAGCTTGGCTAATGTAGAATAATATGGTTTTACAAGTTACATACGTATTTTATGTTTAGAATGAGTTTTACAAAACATGAATAACAATAAAAATTAAATAGTTATATGAACCTGTTACTATGATAGAAACAATAAAAAATAAAAATATTTATATATATATATATATATATATATATATATATATATAAACAAAATATTACTTTTAAGATAAACTAAAAACAAACACTTAATAGAACATGAGATATGATTAACAATTTTGTGTATGCACTTTGTGTACTCCCATCATATAATAGTAAACTTTATTTAAATTATCTATACAATATTAATTTAACTATATTGCACTAAACTGTATAATAGTCTGAATAATGTGGTCTTCTAATGCATGTAAATAAATTTATATGTTCATATTAATATAATTATATATTTTAAAGTTCATATAATAATGTATAATTTGGTGTTAACTACTCTGTACATTAGATAGAAACCATTATACTTTGTGAACCAGATGAAATAATTATGAATTATCTTGTATTTTGTTCTTACAATCAATCGATGCCTCTATACTCTCCGACCAAGCTGCAGTTTCACTTATCGAAAATGGCTAAAGCTGATATCGATGTGTATGTGCGATGTGCATGGTATTTAAGTAAATAATGTTGAAACCTTTAATACATATATATATATATATAAATCACATACCTTTCGGATAAATTAAGGAAGATCAGGTTTGGATCGTCAAAAGAAAAAAACACACAGCTAGTTTAAATATTCCCTCATTTGTGGCGAAGTTTCATATTAAATTTGATGTATATAATTTAAATAATAAAAGGAATTTTTAAACATTTAAAAAAAAAAGAATTATAAAAAGATTTTTTTGTCTCTTTCAAAGACCCCAAATACCTTCAAGTGCTGCTTTATATCTTATAAATACTCTCAAAATATTTATCAAGAAGTTGGAATTATGTAAATTATTATTAAAATATCAAAATGAATTTTTGAAATCAATTTATCCATGTTTCAATCAATTATCTTCATTGAATATACGAACTCCTCTAATACTATAAATGACAATAGCAATCGACAATATTGCTTATTAATAAAATTACTATAAATGAGCTATATGTCAAAAAGAAACATTACGTAATTAGGACATAAATAGAAAATTCTAAACCCAAAACCTTGAATGTCGTTTCAAAAAGGTGAACAGTCAATTTGCCAACCTAGCGCTAATTCAGACATCGTCAAGGCAGAAATTTTTGTTGAATATGGATGTTATATATACCTTGGAACGATTTCTTTTGTATCTATTAATTTGTTATTTGGAATGCTTATTTATTTTTCTAATCCCTCCTTATCATCTGTTTAGTATGTATTTGGATGGCTTGGGGAGATGTCTCTAGTAAATTTATCTATTTATTTCGTTTTTTTATATGATATTTTTTTCCTTTCCTGATTATGCCTGATTTGGCGAAACTTTTGCAATTCAACTATTCTCCTATATGTTGGAGACTCAAGGCTTTGTGGTTTGAATTTTTCCATTTATATACCTATGGATAATAATAATTCCGACCTGTTTACCTGTTATTTATCAATTAATTTCGTTTCCATGACTAAAACCCTTTACTTTTGTACCCCATCATATTGAAATATTTTACTATCAAGATGTGTGAACGGGATATGATAACAGCTTTCAGCCTCCAAAAACGATAAGCGGTCTTTCTTCGGATTATACACCAGTAAGAGAGCTGATTGTCCAGGGCTATGGTACGTTGAAGGGGGGCGATGGAGGGGAAGTGAGTGCTACAAGGAGAAGATGAATTCCTGCTTCCCGCCGTTGGCTGCCCTCAGCCTCCATGGGCTTCCGCAGCCCAAGCCCGAGAAGATAGAAGTCCTTCAAGACCTGGATCTCTACTACATCAAGCAGATAGCCCACAGTCTCAAGGTAAATCCATATTTATCATTAGGTGGTAACTTTTCGATAGTTAGATAGTATCGATAGTTTGGAATATCGAAAAAGAAACTTCCGCTGTCTATTAAGTGTTGCCCAAAATCGGTCTGGGTCTTGCACTTTGCAAAACCAAGACCAAGGCCGCCTAACTGTTCAAGACCAAGACCAGGACTAGTAAAAAAAATTATTTTTAAAATAAAAATTAATGCAAAGTAGTTACTAATACTTGACAAGTTTAGATACTACATGTCAATAATTGGTATAACCAATAAACTTTTGCGTTTAACTCCTCTAATTTTTCATTCGGACTTAGTTAGATTTCTTCTATCTAACAAATTACAGTAATATCTCTGTAGTAATAAGTTTATAAATAACTGCAAGACTGTTGCGAAACTCTTGCGCAAGACCAAAACCATGACCAATACTGAGTTTGCAAGACCAAGACCCGTCTCGGTCTCGTATTTGGGCAACGCTACTATCTGTACTCTACAATTTACCATTAATGTCTTGCATTTAGCATTTACTGTGTTGCTGTAAATCATTGAAGTCTTCCAATATAATTTGTTACTTTAAAGCCTCATTTTAATTGTTCATTCTCCGTGCTGCTTTTTACTCACAGTCTCCATTATAGTTTTCCAGTTCACGAATGCACGTATCCAATTCTTTCACTCTGAAGTGCTTATATTTGTTAATGTTCCATAATCGCTACAAACAAAACTTTACTTCATGAACTCAATATTCCATATGTCCTTGACGACATCCTATGCAGATTCTCATACTTTCATCAGAATCTTATCCACCATTTTAACAATCCCTATTCAGCTCCAGTCATCCTTACAATCCACCTAAATGTTTAGCACGGCAGTGGCCCTGAGATCTTTTTCAAATATGGCGTTTGAGTTTTGGCAATGGCCAGGTTCTCCAATCAAGGCATGAGCGTCAGAGATTCGGAACTCCTTAACCTGACTGTAAACTGTTTAATTAAGTTTGATTGTGTTTTATGATTTTTATATTTTATTTCTATGTTTCATATTTTTGTCTTGTATATTTTGTCTTGTTTGTTTTTCATACATAGCTCTAGTACTTAGTGCTCTAAAGTGTGGTAAAATGTATTATCTGTATTAATAAAAACGTAGATGTTCGTTTATTCAAAACCGCTAATCTCCGAAACTTCTTCACCGACCGCTTTGAAATATTGACATAATGTTTCTATCGCATTCAGGAGTGTTTTTATATACATGGTAGATACACTGTGTTGATTCAGTCTGCAATAACGTTCTTTGTGTAGGCATGTACTGCGCTTCTATCTTGCGCCAGTTTGAGAGCCCTAGTTCACTACACTCGTTGTGCAGTTAGGTTTTATTTATTTGCATTGCTTCTTTTCAAAATTCTTGTTTTTGTTTTGAAACTTTCGCTTGTTCCTCAAGAGTAGTGTGCCGCAAGGTAGTAGCGCAGTATATGCCTACACAAAGAACATTTTTGCAGACTGAACCAACACTGTGTATCCTCCACGGAATCTTCACGAACTAAATTTTACCCACCCAGTCCCAAAGTTACCCATCTTATGGGGGCATTTTTTATATTATGGTGGATTATATTATGGTTTATTATATTATGGTTGCCTATTAGGAGATGAGAAGTTGCAATAATTAGAAGTACAAAGTATAAATAAATTATATAATTTGTTAAAAATATAATTTATTAATCATCTTTTATTTAATTAATTAAATCTCTATTAAAAAAAAAAATAGTGACTTTCATGTTCTATTTTATTTTAGTATTAGGAGAGTAGAAGATTACAGGAGCTCTTCTATTAGCTATATAATTATCAGTAATTATGCAGCTGCTCATTTATTAAATATGTGTTAAGCTCCTGTAAGCTTTTATTCTCCTAATACAAAACAGAGATTTGCAGCCTGGTGTCTTCTTTACGGCATTGAGCTCCTATAACCTCCTACTCTTCTAATACAAAATAAAGATTTTAGACCTTTGATTTTATTTTTTAATTAATTTATTTGATTTTGATAAACGTCAAAATTAACAATTTTGTGTGAAATGTATTACTATAAATTTAACTATGTTGTGTTATTTTTTTATATTCCAACAATTTAAACGTTTTTTCGCTCTTTTATAATTCGTATAATGATCATTTAAACGTGAGTTAACTGTCCTCTGAGCTACTGACTGTGATAGTCTTTATTTGACTCAGATACTAACGATTTCATTGATCTCTAGTACGTCATTTATCAATTTCGATACAACCTGTAATAATTTATATTCCACTTTAGTATGTAAATATAATATAGTAATATAAGTAAATATTGATTTCAACTATCGCTGGTCATTGGGAAAAAGAAACTTATATAAGACGTAACGCTTTATGTTTGTTCGACGTAACGAAGGGTATAAAAAACATCTTGGATATCATTAACAGTCACTCCAAATTTACAGCTTTGTCATCTTGCGTTAGACAGAACCTAAGGAAAACTTCAAAACGTCAGACTTCTGAAAAAAAAAATAAAATAAAACCCTTTCCTTTGTCCGGGGTTTCTTAATGGTCTTACTGGTGAATAATGGAGCTGGGAACAAACACCGCAGCCTTTGAAAGTCTCAACAATTCATTACCGTTTTTCCTTGTTGTATTCTTGTATTGAAAATGACCATTTATAGTATTTTTAACAAATATCATTTATAGTATCTTTATTTATAGTATTTTTCTTCTACTGGTCACTCCAATTATTGATATACGATGTACAATCCTATGATTATCACATAAGTTCTGTTGTTATTAACTTCCATTCCTTCTATTCAAGCTATTATTCTTATTGTTGTTCATATGTATATTTATTAATTATCCTATTTATTATCTTATAAATTAGTACCCTATATATTCATATCTATATATAATCTTAATTATCATTTATATTTTACATTATATTATATATCTCATATATTTCCATTTAAAATTTAATATATATTATATTATATTATGTTGTAATTTATTATATCATTATACTATATTGTATTATTAGATATTGTATATTAGAGTTGTACTCTTTGAAATTATTAGAAAAAAAATTAACCATGTAAAAATGATTTACTTATCATTAATGGCACCGACTTATTAATGTTGCCATCTGGTCGGAACTAATTGTAATTATTCGTTAATAAACTCTAAACTCTAAAAAAAATTGTTTACTTTCTCGCTACCGAAGGTAGGAAAGCATTGTGTTCGTGCGAGAGGTTAAAAAAAATTTTGTGCCCAAAATCTAAAATGTCCATATTATATTTATGTATGGCAATATTTCGGAAAGGGCTCGTTCGATTTGGCTCAAAGCTAGATAAAAGGTAGGTAATGGTGAAAAAAAAAAAACGTAATAGCAATCTTATTGAATTCTGTTCACTAATATCTCGTATATATGAGCGAACGTGTTTTCCTTGATGCATCTTTATCTCTAAAACCGCATGTTCTATTTGGGTCCAATTTGGAGGGAAGTTAAGGATTCGTAAATAGATCAACAAGTAGGTATGAATCTTATCAAATTCTTTCCACTTCTCCTAGAAAAAATACTTTCGCTTTCGGATCAGCAAACGTATTATTTGGCAATAATTAATAATGCTTTGTATTGTATTCAGCTGATGGTTTATATTTAAAGTTATAACATCACTTTTTGATAAGTTTTGACACCAAAATATGTTTTTTGGTTTGTTTGGAAGAGCGGAAATTGTGATTTATGGATGAAATACATACTGTTCTTCCATTTGGCACAGCGTTTGTTTGGCTAAGGAAAAAAGAAGAAAATGTTTTTTTGTTGTTCCCGTGTGGAAAACAAAAAGGGGATTCTGACCCTAATATATAGCAGCCACGCGCCTTTCCCTCCCTGAGGATAGGTGTACCGATTCTTCCTAGTTGTACTGGAAAATAAATTTTGTTATTGATTATTCCGATCTTGATCTGAAATCTGATAATCCAGATTTAATTTAAATTTTCCTAAAAATTCTTGAGAAAACAAAAAAAAAAAAGAAATTGAGAAGTTAAACCATAAAATCTGAAATTAGGGATAAAGATACAGAAACTTAATGAAAATAATTATGAAATGACATAATTCCTTATTCATAAAATTAAGAAGAAATTATACCATTTTGAAAGATGGTTTTTAAAAAATAATTTGGGGTGTATTAAGACTACATCACATTTTCTTTTCTCACATCATCGATACAAATACAAACTATCTAATATGAAAATAATCTTCAATTATGCACTCAAGCGATCTTTAAAAACATTCATAAAAGCAGATATCAGTGTGAAACTTAAAACATCCTCGTTGTTTGGGCTGAATTGTTAATGATATTAGGATGGTGATTTTCATATTCGATAGTTCGACACCAATACTGATTTTTAAAAAAATCTCGATTGAGTCAAGTATCATCACTTGAATTCTAAACAGTATATATTTTATATAATAGCAAGCTGTAAGATTTTATCTTTGCTGCAGGAATTCCCAGAACTGGGTTTCATGACTCAACTTGCGCCATAAAAATTTTTTAGGGGGCACATTTAGATGGGGTATTGAATTTTTGAAGGGGTTACATTTCGAGGGGGTTATGAATTTTCGAAATTAAAAGTTTCATACCAGGGGACAAGAGGAAAGCATTGAGCAGGGCACTGTAAGGGTAATTGTATATGACTATGATATTGAAAATTATACTTTAGGTTGCACTGTTTCAAGAAGATGAGAGCAATAAAATATCTTGGGAGGAGGGTAGAGAGAGGTTCATACACCATCGATCATGGGAGAGGGAGGGGCATCCCCGGATCACATTGAACTATTTTCAAAAAGTTTACACAGATAGTATTTGTATAGACGACATCAATAGCGATTTTGAAAAAATCTAAATTGATTGAAGGTTCACATTGATAATTTTCAAAAAGTTTAGAGATAGTATTAAAGAAATATTTACATAAATAGAAGGCTACTCTTGAAAACTAATGGAAGTTTATAAATTTACTTAAATAACGTTTGTAAATTTTAAAGAAATTCCGAAGTATTGTATTTTTTAAAAATAGTGTATTTGTGTTACGTGTTTCCTCCGATACATTCGATTTTCGATACTCCCTCCACCTTTATTCAAAGCTCCATTCTGCGTTTCTCAGGATTCTTTTTATATCCCCTGTAGTTCGGAGTTCTTTGTAAAAGTTCCTGGAAGGTCGGAAATGTAACAAATAACATCCGGTTTCCATAGTTCGGTGCGTTATCTATCACCAAAGAATGGTACATGTTGATCTTAGTGTACGTTGAATGTTCATTCACATTGTTAATGGGTCTGAATCATTGTTTTGTTTTTCTCTGGATTCGTTGATGGACTCAAATCAACTCTCTTCTACTATATTTTCTAGTTTCATTAAAATCATTCCTTACTCCATTGGATGATTTGTACAATTAGGTTAATTTTGGATATCCTAAGATTTCACAGTATACAGTCTTTTTTTTTCCACTGAAGGTTATGCACATACAATTAGATCATCTCTTATAATGTGAGTATTAACAAGACACCAGTCTATTTTTCATAGTGAAAGGTTTTTTGTGAAGGTGAGTCATAGTGGAAAATCTGAATCAACGAGGTTGTTAGTTTGATTACCATAGGTAATCTTAATTGTAACAACATGCTATGTTACAGAGTTGAATATGAGGAATATTTAATTTTGTGATTTTTCATTGCTCTTTTTAATTGATCAATCGATGAAGCTTGTACATTTAATAAATTTCTCAGAACAAAAATAATATGCCTCAATGATCCTTTATCACAAATTTAACTCCAACAAAAGAGAAATTTGTGTAGGTTCTTAAAATAATAATTTACAATCATCCATGTAGTTTAAAACTGCTGGTTAACTAATATCATAATCATAGTCGCAGACTTCAGGGATATAAGGGGAGTTGTCTCCCCCTCTAATAAAATAAAGAGGAACTAAAATAATGTCTCCCCCTACGATTAATAATATGTAATTAATTAACAATCAAAGTAAATACCAATTAATTTACTTGAATGAAAAAATATGTAACCTAAAATAAATTTAAAAATTAGGAAATATCGGCTAGAAGGCAAAGCTAAGGCTTAGAAAGTAACTACGCAAGTATTTTTCTACGCCCTAGGTCCCTATAATTGAAATTTTAGTTTATATTTCAAGATTAGTTCGTTTTACAATAATTATGTTCTTGTGTTTATTATCAATCATTATTTTTATTACTTATAAAAAATCAAATTCTAACTTTTCAATGAAATTATTCTTACAGCGTAGCTCTCAATATTTTTAGGGATATGGAACAACTCTGATGTGGCAACCGGTCTAGAATTAATTAACGTACAGTGCCAGAATTAATTAATATTTGATTATATAGATTATGAAAATTAAAATTAAGTTGAATATACCCGCATATCACACGACTAGAAACCGCCCGTCGTTTTCGTCACTTACGAGACAATCGCTCTAAACTTCTAACTATTTACAAAAGACTCATTTATTTACTATAATAAGGCCTATTTGGTCTTACGAGATCGAGCTTTGGTGCTCTACTAAATCATCGAATTCTTCTCTTATCCAATCCCTATAATCCAAAATCTTCAATGATCCCTACTTTATCACAAATATAATCACCCATAACAACCTTAATGTTTCCGATTTAGCTCAATCCAGATACCTATCCTTCCATAATAAACTGCTGAACCATCCGAAGCCTCTTATTTCCAACCTTCCTGATAACCTTCTGATGCGTCTGAAAAGAAGATGGCCTCGGGACCTTCTAATATAGAAATATAGTTAGAGTGCTATCAATGGGTAGTTTCTCTTCATGTTGTAGATGTCATGTTGCTTGTTTCATATTTACTTGTTGTATTTATCATTTGATACAGTTGTAAATTTCAATAATAAAAATTGAATAAATAAAAAATAAGTTGAATATATGTATGTGCAGTGCCGGTCTTATACTTTCGGTGCTCCCGGGCAATTACGTCATTTCCCCCATAATAAATTAAATATATTTAGTAAGCTGTTTTCTATTATGTAAAATTTGAATTCAACGTTTCTGTAATAAAATTGCTTTATTGATGGGCTAAAACTAATTAGTTTAATACGTTAGGTTTTTTTTTTTTTTTTAATTTCTTACAAGCAGCAAGCGCCCATGATAATTGGCTGGCGCTATGTTTGTGTGTGTATTTAATTATAAAAAAAATAGTAATAGAAAAATGTGACAAATTATTGCGGCCTCCATTATAACTGTCCAACCTTAATGCGGCATCTAATGATAAAAATGTTCCACGCATATGGGTTATACAAGTATCCGCCTGCCTCCTGCCTCATTTGAAAATGCGTAAATGAAGTCTCAACAACTCATTCATTAGGTGTGTCTCTTTTGTGTCCGTTATCGCCCGTGAATATTGTCTAGGAGACCACTCCTTTCTTTTATCCTGTCACCGCTGGATATATCTCTATCGTTACCTTCATAGTTT